CCCCAAAACCCCAAAACCCCAAAACCCCAAAACCCCAACTTTTGATAACTAAATTGAGTAAGAGTTTCCAAACAGGTTTATAATAATTAGGTTACAAGGGATGATAAAGAAGGATTCTTGTGCTACAAGGGTCACTAACATCCAGGGCTCCCTAGATGACAGCCAGTATTCTCCTCATAGTTCGAGACCAGATCTTCAGGAGCAAGCTGACGACCATAGTTTTCTCTCATCTTTCTTTGAGACTCTGAAAACAGTAAGTGAAGGCGATCTAGACCCTAAGTATAAGATTAAAGAAAGGAATATTGTTACTTGCCCACTTCTATGTTTGGACTCCAGAGAGGTCCAAGCTACAGATATAGTAGAGCCAGACAATTTTGTACCAACTAAGCATCTTCTAGAGTTTGCGATTAAGAATGAATATTTTAGCAGTTTCAATAATAACAACCATTGGATAGAGGTCTCCTTTTTAAGCGAGAGTGAGGACACTCTTAACTTTGAGGATTCAGAGTCTTCTTCAACAGAGAACAGCATCAGATTATATCCGAATGGTAATTTCAATAACAAGAAAAATATTTGCTCATTGTCCAAATGTAAATCTGAAGAAATCCTTCATACAACTTCAAAATTTATTGTAGACTTCTTTGAGTTTTCTGAGAGCAAAATATTCGAGAAAAAGAAGGGATCAACTCACGCATATACAGAAAGCCAATGGTTAAAGGCTGGAAAGATTAATAAAGGCAAGCCATTAGCATTTTAAGCGCTGTTGTAAATCGATAACCAAACCAAGTGTGGTGCCAGCTCATCATGGACGAGCCTTATGTGTTGAATTTTATCTTGCTTAATAAACATTTGTTCTACTTAAATTCTCATCTCAGTAAAATATTCCTTAACCACTAATTTTCTCGATTCTTCCTCAATGACAGTTGCTGGCTTTCTCTTTAAATTTGATTTTCCCAGTATGAATCTGAGCAGGGAGGGAAATTAACTTTTGGACAGAAGAGTAAGTAAGTCTCTGACGGTTGAAATTAGGCCTTCATAAATCCTCAGTGACAAGAACTAAATTCGGTCATACTCCTCAGCCTCACCTCGAGTTCTAACTTCTAATTGGATAGTTTAATCTGAATTCATTAACCCAATCAGGTTCCTGGATAATAGCTAACCTAGCGTGATGTAATCCCTATACGACCGGAGGTAAGATTACTGCCTGTTGAAAAGTTCTCAGTTTGACGAAATCCATGAGCAATATTGATCATAACATTGTTGATGCCTTATAAAGTAGTTGGAGAATTATAAAGTACTTTTCTTAAAGGTAATACTTTCACCTATAATTTGTTGTACTCCTCCCAGGATTTTATTACCCCTGGACCTAGATTTGTTGGTTTTGATGCTAAAGCAGCCTACCTTGGACGCTGCTGACTTTGGAATTAGTGTCAGCGACAAGTTTTTAATTTTGGTTGGAGAAATTTTTGGCTCTGCCTTCGGAAAAGAAATTTCTATAATCTTTAGGTGAACTCTCTTCTCAACTCTCATTAAGGGAGATCTCGACTCCAATTTCGATCTGTGTATGAAGGCTTTAATTAGCATCAAATAGGGAGCTCCTAAAGATGAGTGCTGCCTCTTCCAAAAAATTCGTTTCCTAAGAGTGATTTCTTATAATACATCATTCTCCAACTTCATTCGTCGGTCTAAAAAGTAAAGATGGATCACTAGATGCTTGAGACTTCATTACTTTCATTCTCTTGTCGATAAAAGGAGTGGCAAGAATTAATCTTGATTCCTAACAAATTCTGACAGATAATCCCTACCCTTGCAAGGTCGTATCCAAGATTATGCAAATATCTCAAGAAATTTTTTCAAGATCAGAGAGAACTTTTAACTCCTTTGCCTGTCGCCAATTATCAATGTTAGAAATGTCAGACTATTTATAACTAGGAAATAGTCGCCATTGCTCCTTGCCAATCTCTCTGAATTACATCATTTACTACAAATTCTGAAATATAATAACCAGAATGCTAATATTCAATAGCATCTAAACAACTAGGGGTTTTGGGGTTTTGGGGTTTTGGGGTTTTGGGGTTTTGGGG